ATAGTTTCTTAACATTTTTTTAGAAAATTTATCGTCAGTCATTGGTTAAGTTATTAGTTATTAAGTTATTACTTAGGAATTTTTTCGTTTTTGAGGTTATGTTTGAGTTTATGTTTAAGGTTATGTATATGCTTGGATGTTTCACTTTTCCAAAGTTCATTATTTAAGCGACATTTACAAAAACTTCTAAACTTTTTTCATCGAGGTTGCAGATAGGGGCTTAATCTACGCTAATGCTAAATTACTTTCTGATAACTCTTGTTCCATTCCAGACATTTTACTCTGCTCCCGTGACTACACATGAAAGCAAATAACTATAACAATATTGGGTTTGCATCCAGAGGTTTTGAGTGATTTAAATCTGTTGGGAATCATTTTGGGGACTTGTTTCACAGTTTTAATCCAAAATTCTATACGAATTGTAAGGATCAAGTGAGAAGAAATTAGAATAGTATTGTGAGTGCGCGCAAAAGTCTCGGTAGTAGTCTTAATTTATCGCGAATGGTACTCTTTGGAATCATTTTGTTACAAAGAACTTTAGTTTACTTTTTCCCAAACTACGAAATATATACAACTCCCGCACACAAATTGAAATGACTTTAATTAGCAGAATGGAGGAATCTGGGAAACTATCACACAAATTGTGCACGACTCATTTTTTTTCCCTCAAAAATTGGAAGTACGAAACACAGACCATGTTCAAATTGGAAGTCGAACATTCGAATTTCCAAGTACCAAAAATTTAAATTAATAGCATAGGGCTGTTGTTCTCCATCTTGAACATCCTTTAAGATAGCGAAAGTCTTTCGCCAACTCCCTGACATGTCCCGCCGTCGAGATCCATCCTGTGGTCACAAAAATTCGAGCGAAAATATGAAAACGTCGTCCAACTTGTCGATAGAGATATCTACGAGATGGCGGTTAAACGTGACATTCGAGTAAATGTATCTGTTTACCGGGATGATTGTGGAAGGAGTGCGATTTGCCATAAAGTTGTCAATAATTGGGGTAAATAGCAAACGCAGTTGAATCGTGTCGACGATAGAAGGATAGACCGCGACAAATTATTAGAATAAAAAAATTGGATAAGAAATGACGACATAACCACAAAAATAAATAAAACTAGTAACAAAATTATATTCGATAATAGAATCGCTTCTACGATCTCTCAACTTTCCTACCCGGTAGTGTCGACGTATGGCTAAAATGAATATACACGCAAGTGAATACAAAACTAAGAAGCAAGTCTCTGAGAGAAGTTGTTTCAATATTCTCTCTTTTTGTTTTTTATACCCTACATCACTTGTTATCCAATGATATACTAAGTTTTCGCAGATGTATATAGCACCCAGAACGACTTGAGATAGGCTCACCTTTTATTACACCTAGCTTGCAGTCCGTCCATCCGTCCATCGAATCAATTTTTCGGTCACTATAGCACCTTATTTTGAAAATTCGATATATGAATAATTGCAGGATGGTGTAGCGTATTTAACAGTGGGCCTGCTCCACTATAGCGTTTCAGCTTGTTTCTTAGTTTAGCAAGTTTATCCGCAATTAGGAAAATCGTATCGGAATATTTGCGATTTAGAAAACTGAAACAAATTTTTAGCATCAACCCACTGCAACAATATGCTAGTAAACCGATTATGTCCCATGAAGAGGTTTTATTTTTTACTTATAAAAATTTTTAATTTCCCCAAACATACAAATGTTAAGGCAATAAGCTACCGGCTTCAAATTGTCAACAATTCAACTAATGATCACAACTTGTTTCAACTTCTTCTTTCTCTTTTAAGATCTACAATGGCTTGCTTCTAAGTTTGCCACATTTACTAAACTTGATTTGTGCAAATGTCATATGGGATGAGCCTAAGATAATGCATTATCATCTACGTGAGACTTATCCATTAATGGATAGTAATAACACTGTCACTACTACTATGGACTAATGAACAAGGAAGAGAATGAGTTAATGGGACGAAATGATCTAACGTAACGAAATGGAGAAATGAATTTATTTATTTCAATTATTTTATAGCTTCTTTATGAACTCTTAAACGATTTACTATATTTATTTATTTATATTTCGGAAGAGCTGTTTGTTAATCTTTGCTTTTGCATATTATACCTGACTTGAATATGTTTTAAAATTTAAATACTTACTTCAATTATTCGTTTAGCTTCGTTGAAATTTTTCAAAGACATAGCTGTTATAACCAGTTGTTCCGGTGTCCCTAATATCTTAGGAATAATGCTACGTTCCATTATTAGATAAACGTTGGACTTGGCTGCTGACTTAAATTTCTCATCATCATTAGTTAACAAAGTATTGACCAATGTTTTAGCTCGAGCTCGACATTGCTTTAATGTAAGGGCATCTTCGGTATGAGAATTAATCGTGCCGCTAAAGGTAGCACGACGATACTTTTTATGGGCCTTACGTCTCGATACTCTACTAAAGTAATGCGACTGACAGTTCTCAACGTTCTGATTGTCTCCATCATCTTCATCGCTAGTGTTTTTTTCCATTGCAATCTTATGCGGTTTTATTAATTGAAAGATTTTTTCCTCTCTCAACTGCAATACGCCCAGTTTTGCTTTGTTTGCATTATTTAAATCTTGTTGTAGATTCTCTACAATATCATATTTCCACAAAATGTTATTGATATAATCTAAAATATTCTGGAAACGTTTTTGCAAATCCTTGGGAGCCATTTTATAAAAGTCGCTATGAAGTTTTTTGGTAATAAATGATTTAAGAAAATTGAAAATTTGATGTAAAACTATACCACGACACAAAAAATTCCCACTTGTTGGCTTAGACATTGATTTTAGAGCGCGTTTATACGGTTTATCAATATGTTCATCATCGCCATCCGTATAAGATGTATCGGAACTTTTTTGATTCCTTCTTTGTATCGTAATTGATTCCGTATTCATCACGTCATAGCGTAAAAATACCATTTGAGATATATCTTCTAGCAATTGGCAAAGACTTTCCAAATCTTTTTGCTGTCTTAAGAAGACTGTTAATAATTGCACTTTTCTGGTAAATAGATCTTTTTCATTGGTGGCAGTGTCAGTTATTAGATCGTAAATTATTGTTAAACAGTAGTAATAATTGAAGACATTTAATTCTTTATCTAACAAAGAATTATTTTCTCTTTCATAGGCCCTTACTAAAAAATTCTTTAATTCGCCATAAGATCCTTTTAAACGCCATTTTACAATCATTTCCAAGATACTATTCGTTTCCAATACATTTCGAATTTGCATACAATCTCGACATTCAGCTTGCCTTTGTATATAGTTGCATATATTTAGAAGAATTTCGAATTTTTTGAAAAAATATTTATACACAGGTTGATAATCTTCTGGTAATTTACTCAAATCCATTTCTTCGATTAATGGCATAAGATTGATTATTTCGGCTAATTCTTGATTATAATTTGAAAATTTATCTATTAATCGTAAAATCAAAAATTGAAAGCGCAACTCATTCGATAAAGGTCTAAATTCATTCAAATTCTTGATGATTAATGTAATGAAATGTGTTTTCTTTTCCATAGCTTGATATAAAATGTATTCAGCTGAGGGCAAAGGTTCTTGATAATATTGCCATATTGAGTCTTTAAGAAGTTTCACGATATAAGAGATTAAATTTTCATCTTTATGACTTAATAAACTTAGATAAAATTCGCTTTTCCTCGAAGCTTCCAATAAAATACATTTTAAATTGTTTTCACAATTCTCTGTCATATCTTCATATATTTCGGACGGTGATTCTATTAAATATATGAAAAATTTATCTAAACATTTCTTGGCCAAGAGGTCTTCTAATAGTTGTTCCAAAGCTTGAAGTAGTACAGACTTTATCTGCTCTTTGTGGGTTGACCAATTCAATAAAAGCAATTTTATTACCGGATAAGGGTTTTCTTTTAAAATATCTATTAGCAATTTTTGACACTTTATCACAGCCGAATCATTTGAGGTCAAACGCTGTAGATAATTCTGCAAAAAACATATTTAAAAAAGAAAAACGTTTTGTTTTTGTTGTTTTAATAAAGACATTTTATAAATACTTTTACCTGTACGGCTTCTCTATCTTTAGACGTTAGTAAAAGTAAATAATTTTCCACCATTTTTTCCGAAATGTTGTTTTTTAATTAAAAAAGAAAAATCTCATATCACAGTTTCAAACTAATCTTTTGTTATAACGAAGAACAAAGCATTAAAACTCCGCTCGTATCACTAGTCTTACTGATTCACCAGCAACAAAGATAAGATTATATTTTACCCTCGGTTTAAATTTCATTTGCACTTTTTGTTTTTCATAATGTGTGCACGTTGCGCCTTAAACTTTCCGCATTTTAAAGATAATTTAATTTTTCCGCTTCATTCTCAACTCAAAGCCAAGCCAATGTTGTAATTAACAATACGTACTTTCTGATAAATAATAAATGGACTATTTTGTTGTTATTAGAAGTTTTTTAAAGAAATCAGCTGCTGATTTGTTTATCATTTCTAAATACTTGTTGTTTGTCTCAAATCAGCTATTAAATAGAGTTGCCAAGTCCAACTAATTCATTGTAGAAGGATTAAGACTTAAATACTGCATCAAACACAACATAAGTATTAAATATTTTATATTTTTACTTTTTTTTTTAGATTACAAATAGTACTTACTTGAATTAAATGTAATAAAAAAGTTTAAAAATCCTAGCAAACAACTGCCAGTTTAATATTATTAAATAAATACATTTGTCAATATTTGCAAATTACAAATTTTCAAGTTAATGGCGTTTTTGCCAATTAAAAAATAGTTACCAAGATTTTGCAAAAAATTCATCCTCTTTGAAAATCCTTCTTTTAAATAGTTGAATTGATTTTGTTTAATTATACTCTAACGTTTTACGGCCTGGCAATGCCGCAGCGCGAGAAATACAGCTGATTGAAGTTTTTGCAAACTTAATTAAGAATTTTTGTGTTTCCCAAGACCGGGATCAAACCAAAATAAAAAATCTAGAAAGTAAACACGAAAATGCATCAAGCTTATCAGATACATTCCATATTAAAACAAGGTGTACATATAGAGTCCATAGCGGGTTATGGTAAGCTGGAAAAATGAAGACAATGAAAAATGTTACAATTAACTAGAATTTCTACATATACTAAATCAAAAGACAACAATGTCATTTTGGGCACTCGTAGTGGGCAGCTGATTATGTATTCCGTGGATAAAAATGGCGCTGTGGACATGCTAATGTTTAATAAGAACTTTAGTAAGAAGGCCATTACTCAAATGGAAGTAATAGCCGAAGAGAATTTACTCTTCGTCCTAACAGATGCGATGATACATGTTTGTGATATAAGCCGCAAGGAAAACAATTTCACGTTTATACATAATTCACAATTTACAAAAGGTTGCAGTTTATTTACAAAGGATGTTAAGGTAGTAATGCAACTTCACTAGTATTAACGAAATATTGATGAAATCGAGATTTACAGACCACGAAGACGACCACCGGAGAAACAGCTACAGGTAAAATAGTTCAAATAATTTCAATTTTTTGACCATAATATAAATATTAAATATCCTACTAATATAGTGCAAAATCAATATTTAACAAATATCAATTTATTCATATATATTTTACTTCGACAATTCTCAAAGTTTATGACCAGTTTGACCGTTTGGAGCGTTGACGACCTTAAAACGGTGAACCGTTCTCATTCTCATCGCAAGTTTTTTCTGTTTTCAATGAATTTAAATTGTCTCAAAATTAGCAGAAACCAGGGTGCAGGTCTCTCAAAATAAGCAAAATCAACCAGTGTGTGTGTGAAAATGACCAAAAAGCAATCGTACACTTGTCTGAAAATGAACAAATACATATATTTTTTAATGAAAGTGAACAAAAATTCTGAAAAATTCGAGCTCAAAATTTTTATCTTGTTTTTACTCAAAACACTTGTAGCATAATTCTCTGTTCAAATCAAATTCATTAATAACATTTTACACAAAATGATTTTCCTTTTGAAAAAAACAACTAAATATTTCGCTAAAATGGTAAATATATATATTGCGGGCATTTTCAAGAAAAATAGACGTAAACAACTAATTTAAAATGCGTATATAAAATGATTAAAAAAAAATCAGTAGTAAGCAAATTTTTTTTACTTTATTTTTATAAAATATAATAATAATTTTATAAAAAAAAAGAAAAATTTAAAATTTCGAAAATTTTTGAGATTTTTTGAATTTGCTGAAAAATAAATTCATTTAAACTGACTTCAAATAAAACAGAATTTGTTGAGTTGCTCTCTTGCTGGGATTGTTTAATAAAATTATGTTTTCCTCTTACCTGAACGACCGTAAAATAAATAAAGAGCGCGTCACCACTTTTTAATAATTGCTACATGAACAATAAAAACCTAAACGTTTCTTAATTTTTTTAATCGGCTTTTTCTCTCAAAGCAGAGTAGATTTTATTCTCACAAATTTCAAAAACGCCTTTCATAAGAACACTTAGCAAAGTAATTTTGAATAATTAAAAAAAAGACTTTTTAAATATAGGAAAAAAATACATTGAATAAGTAAATTACTTTGTATTTTCTTAATATTTAATAACTGTAATAGTTTTAGAGTATATTTTTAATTTCTAATCATAATAATTCAAATAAGTCAATCTTACATTAGTCTTAACTTCTTAACTGCTTTTTTTCAATCATCATATCAATATTTGAAAGTTCCATACGTTTGAAAAATATATAGCGACGATAATATATCTAGTCTACGTTATTTGCGGATATTATCGCCCATCAAGTTATATAAATTGAAGATTTTAAATTGCCATTTAATGAATATTATTAAAAAGGATCAATAAGCATAACGAAGCTATGCTTCGAAAGTATTTAAACTTTGGTATGAATTTTCCATGAGAATATAGTTACACATTATCGCTCCGACAATCTCTCACTTAATAATGCTTTAGAATCTGTAAAGATCCAAAGGACTAATAGATAGATTTAGAAGCCATTTGATGGCTAAAATACAATCTTGTCTACTAGTTTTGAATAAAATGCCTATTTTCTCAAAGTCACTGTTATATTAAGATTATTATTCCATGATCATGAAAGAAGATTAATTGTTCTATAAGAGGGGGAGAACTGTCTTGAAGACCTAGTAATGTTCAAGTAGACATTTTTAAAAAAAGTAAAATACTTTATATATGAAGCTTTAAATTAATTGCAGTTATTCGAGTTTGCTGCGCAATTAAAAGGCGTTTGCAATTCTTCTATTGGAAATTAAACCTCTTGGCCTCACCTGATTTCAGTATTGACTTGAAAGATATACCAAAAGCTTTGTGCTGGGTAGATGATTTAATATGCGTGGGGTATAAAGATGAATATGTTATATATAACGTGAGTAAATTTCATATTCGTTACGTATAAATCTATACTGACATATATATATATATATATTTCCATTTGTTTTGTAGATCAAATATAACAAGACAGAAAAACATGATCTTATTGTGACCTCTTCTTCTTACAATATTGATCCTTGCATGTGTTTACTAAAGAATAACATGTTAGGTGTATCCAAGGATGAATTCCTAGTAGCCATTGATCCTAATGAATATTTGATTAAAAAGGATGATAAATCTAAAGTTCAAGGTTCTGTAGACGTTGCGGCAACAGATACGAAAACCACTTTAAAACCTATGGCGTGGTCAAGTCCTTTATTAGCTTTGGTATGGGATGCCCCTTTTGTGGTGGGTCGTGTAACTAATGGCCTGGAGATACGGTATTTGGAAAGTAATGGTATTAGTAAGGATACTTTAGTGCAAAGCATACCTGAATTAAATAAGACAAAACATTTGGTACGCTCTGCTCCTGGCACCATATTTGCGGCCGCCTTATCCGAATTATGGTGCATCAGATTAGTGGATATTTCCATACAAAGGCATCAACTATTACAGCAAAAGAAATTTGGTTTGGCGATCGAATTAACGGTAAGATTGAAATTTAATTGATTTAAATCAGTAATTAAAAGCAACATAAAAGCTAATCGTAAAAATGATATGCATATGGTACTTTCAAATATTGCTTAGGAGCATAAGAATACCGAAAATTAAGTTGGAAGCCTAATGAGAAGAAATCGAAGCTATACTGAGCCAATTGTAACTTTTTGTCTTAATAAATTCCAAAATATCCATCTGTTCGCCTTCTTAACACAGAGAGGTTCATGTAATGTCTCTAATGTAAACCGAATGTGAACCGACCGTTTTTCGCAAATTTTGATTTCTAAAAGGCTGAGATCGAATAAGAAAAAAAACAATAGTTGATACCGAAATTTAAGCCACTTACCCCAAACTAGACTTTTGCGTATGCAAATCGCAGTTTATTAAAGTTAAAGAAAGATAGAAAATGGGGGCAAGCAGCAGTGTTTTCATTTTCTTCGCAGGCATTCAAGATACTATAAGCCTGGCAAGCTAAATGCATTGAAAAATTATTTTCCAACCTTTTTATGTTCAAAAAGCAATTCTAACTTAATCATCAAATTTCTCAAAATATCTTGTCAAACTGAGCAATCAGGTAAATTCCTTGGCAAATTTTTCTTCTGGATGAATCCAATGAAATAAGAAAATGGAGAGGACGTCATATACTGGCTATCCCATTTAGACATTAATTTCATTTTATTCTTTAAATTCTTTTAATTTTTTTACATATCATATCTATATCGTTATATTGTTCCCCTTAGGGACAATAATTTCTGTTATTCTTCTCATCTTACATATAAATATATTTTTCTTCTTTTTGAATTACATATATAATTCACAATTTATTCGAAATGAGAAAAATAACAGAAGTTGTTGTCCCTAACGGGGACAATTTACGTGTACATATATATAATCGGTGGTATAAAAGTTCCACGCGGTTTTTTTGTTTGCCTTATTTTAAGCTTTTTTTTGTAGGCTGCTCTTTTGAGCATGAATAATTCCAAAATGTCATGTGTTTAGTGTTCAGCGCCGCCGCTATTTCCTGACAGCTTGTGTGCCGGTCTTGCTTCATCAGTTGCAAAATTTCATCGACTTTTTCAATGACGGGCCGACCAAAGGGAGCTGCATTTTTGACATCGAAATTTCCGTAACGGAATCAAGCAAAGCATTCCTGAGTACTATGTTCACTCAAAGCGTTCTCACCATACATCTCGCAAATTTTTCGGCATGTTTTTGCAGCGCTTTTCCCTTTGTTATAGTAAATCGGATAGCGTATTTCTTCGGACATATCACTCATTTTCAACTCAAGGTGAAATAGCACCTTTCAAGCGCATGTTCGTTTGGGGTAATTAGGTAAGTGTTGCCCAACATATATAGGCATCAACACTGTCCAGAGGCAAGAAACGCGAAAGACTTTTTGTTTCATCCATTATAGATGTGTATGTATATATGATCTGTATGCATATGTATCGGTCGGGCAAGCATGCGTACTTTCGCAAGCGCCAAAACGTCATCTTTCAATAAAGAAGTTGTCATAGATTTGGGCAATGTGCGAAAGCAATAGCAACCATGAACGCAGAGTTTTGCAGTCATACAGCCCTGACTTCCGAATCTTCGAGAATTGCTGATATTAAATGAATCGATGCTTATTACGAACGAATGTTTAATATAATTGAACAAAATCCGATTGGATTTTGAAGCACCAAGTATTTGAATACTTGAGTGCAATCTAACAATAAGTTTTAGGCTGATAATGATTCTAGAAATTATTTACTTATTTATTTTTCTTTTTTTTTTAAATATTTAAATTTATTCGCAAGTGTAAATCCATAGACCAATGTCCATAGTTACATTAGTATGAATCATACAGATGAAAAGAGCTAAAGACTACTTAAATGATCATCATATTTTTGGAGCAAAAAATGTTAAGACAATAACTAACCTTCCATTTTCTATAATGTTTTTAGCATATTTCTGAGGAACCGGATGCTCTTAAATCTGATATAATCCGACAAATACATATGCGCTATGCGAAAGAATTATTTGCACTTAAGCAATTTTCATCAGCCATGACTGAGTTCGCTAAAGCGTCAGCGGATCCGTATGATGTTATACGTTTATTTCCCAATTTACTTCACGATCAGGCCAAGCCGACAACGAAGGATAGTTTTGACGCTACTGTACCCACGTTTCCTATGCCTCAGTTAGAAGATAAAGATTTGGAAAATGCAATTTTAGCTTTAATTGAATTTTTGGCTTTGGCCCGTCAAAAAGAAGTCGTCAAACTGCGTGATACGAAAAGTAGCTCGAAATCGCTGCTATCCATCATCGATACCACTCTTCTTAAGTGTTATTTGCAAACAAATGATTCATTGATTGCACCCCTCTTGCGGTTAAATCAATGTCATTTGGAAGAATCGGAGAAAACTTTAAAGAAACATGATAAAATGTCCGAATTGATTATATTGTATCAAACAAACGGTAAACATCGCAAGGCATTGGAGTTATTGCAAGCTCAAGCGATTAAAGAGGGCTCCAGCTTATACGGCCACGAACGTACGATACGTTATCTGCAACAATTAGGCTCCTCCCATTTGCAATTAATTTTAGAATTTTCCGATTGGGTTTTGAAGGCCGATCCCGAGCAAGGCCTACGCATATATACGGAAGATTTTATTGAAGTGGAAAATTTACCGCGAGCAAGTGTTCTAGATTTTCTACTAACACGTCATAAACTATTGGTTATACCGTATCTGGAGCATGTGATTAATGTTTGGCACGATAATAATACATTTTTACATAACGTTCTAATCAAACAATATCTTGAAAAAGTGCAACAATTAATGAAAGAATTAGATAAAGAAGAAGACGAAGAAAAGTGTGAGCATAAAACTGAGAAAATGGAAACTTTGAATAAATACCGTACGAAATTATATAATCTATTAAAAATATCGTATAACTATTCACCCGATGTAGTATTAAAGGATTTCCCCACAAATACGATGCTGGAAGAGCGAGCTCTAATATTGGGCCGCTTAAAGAAACATGAAAAAGTTTTAGCCATCTATATACAAATATTGGGTAATGTGAAAAAGGCGGCAGAATATTGTGAAACGCACTACGACGAGGATCAAGATATTTTCTTTATATTATTGAAAACAATTTTAAGTCCGCTTAATCAACCGCCCTATGAAGGTATACAGTTGCATAAAGATTTCTTAAAACCAAATCATGACGTAGTTGTGGATCTATTGAATAAATATGCAATCAGGATTGATCCTTGTAAGATATGGCCAGTAAGTTTTACATTTTTTAACATTTTACATTCAACTATATATATATATATATATATATATTGACTTTAGTTTTTACCGAAAGATATGCCATTGCATCGCTTACAAAATTATTTGGATACAGTGCTACGTACACAAATGGCGGAGAGTCATCATTTGGAGATGAAGAAGGCTTTACTGACCGCGGAAATATCACGTGTGGAGGGATTGATACGTGATCAGCAGAATATTAGTTTCGAAATCAATGAATTCAGTGTATGTCCCGAGTGTAGAAAGCGTTTCACTAATCAAAGCGTTTTTGTACGCTATCCGAACGGTGATGTGGTCCATCTGTCTTGCCATGATAAGCGAGTAATGGCCTCCAATTTATTTGGTAATTAATAATGGAAAGTTTGCGTTTTTCAAATTTTTTTTTTTTTTTTTAAATAAAATAATTTGAAAAATTAATAAAAAAAAAAAAAAAGGCGAAACTAATTTTTGTTTTCCTTGAAGATGAGCAGGGTATAGAGATGCCCGCCTTTGACAAAGCGGTAGATTACGTTTCGTATGCAAATCGTACCGAATTTTTAGATAAACTCACGCTTGGGACCCTTTCAATAAAATATGTTATCATCTTGCGCATAGTGGGAGTGATATTTCGCTTTAAAATCGCTATCAATACTTAAGAATAAAGCATATACATGGATTGGATTGAAACACTTCGGGTCATTGTAATCAATGTGCTTAATTCCCGATTCAGCAGAACACTTTGCTAATTATGCTAAGCATTTCATGGATATTTCGTCGATATGTATTATACATATTAATTTTTCCTACCGTTCTTTCGCCGGGCGGCTACACTTTGAATACGATAATCCCCGCAAGAACCTTTAAACACTATAATATCATTATTAACAAATTGGGCGAAACGTATTGTGACCTAGAATGTCTATTGCGTGTATCAGTCTTACGATTTTTATGAATGCCGCCACCTTCATTGGGTCGGAGCACGATACCGTGTTTGTGTTTGATTCTGCAGATGGCCTCACACTCGCAAAGAATGTAAGGGGACGTTTCGCTCGTGTCTTGGTAGAATCTGCAGGAATCGGTATCGAATATACCAATGTTTTTCAGATGGTACCTGAGGGAATCATGATCCGTGTAGAAGCCGGCAATTAAACATAGTTCGCTAGTTCCTAGTTCCAGTAGTAGAATTTTATGCATCATACTGGAAGATTTTATGAATTTTTTTGCCAGCCATTGTCCTACACATTGCTTCCAAGGGCAATCCAATTAATTCTACGAACCTCCTGTTGGTTAGACAGTCAGCCCTTTCGTTGCGCTCAACATTCGAACGGCCAGGCATTAAACACTGTAATAACATTCTCTTCGAATCTGCAAAATTATTTCAACTTTGTATTGACTTTGACCTAGCGCCTCTATGAGTCAGTCTGTTCGGGCGGTCAATTCTACGGATTTGTCTTATTCGGCTCTTCTGCATGTATTTTACCTGCGCAATGATCACGGATTTTATAACAGACCTAGAGATGTTAATGGCCTGACGGTTCAGCAGAAACTGGGAAACGGATGTCCCATCTTCTTCTCCCCTAAGCCTTCACTCGATCGAATAGGCATTGCCAATCGGAGATTTAGCCGCATTCATAATATGTTAGCTGACTTATCTCGGACTGGAATTCCCAGCCCATACCTATGGTTTACATCTAGTAGGCAATTCTAGCCTTCCGCCTTTACTATATATATATATATATATATATATATATATATATATATTATCTACAATCTGAATATACACGTAACATTTCTTATTGGCTTAAAATCCATTACAGCTCAACAATTCCTACGCAAAGACAAACAAACATGATGAATGCAATCCAAGATATTTATTATTAAAATTAAATTTCCATCGCATTGTTCATGTCAATCCCTTGTCGCGAAACAAATACTTCAGACCACCAGCTTGAATTGACAATGGTTGATTGATGCCTTCTCTGCTGTGTATTTGCCCAGAGTTCATTAAGGAGTGAACAGTTGCGCTGCATGCAAAATTGTTGCGTTCTGTTTGCTTTTCGTCTTTCTGCGATGCTCTCTCGCCACTGTTCGCGGCAACGAACGCCCATCGACCCAACAGAATGCTCCAATAGCTTCTTCATTTCTTTATTTTATTGTTTAATATATCAAAAAAAAAAAATTTTTTTTGTATATTGAGGTTGCTTGGTTTTATTTTCTTAAATTTCAAAATCAAAGCCGTTACAAAATTACAAAGTAGTAACAAAGCATTAATTTTTATACCCACAGCCGAATGATGAGGGGTGTATAATCATTTTGTGAAAACGTTTGCAACGCCTAGACGAAAGTTTCGGACGTCTTACAAAGAATGTTTATTCTTGATTAATGTCCGTCTGTCCGTCTGTTGTCCACATTCTCCTAGCCGCAACGATAAAGCTATTGACTTCAAATTTGATAGAAACATTGGAAATTCTTGCACGCAGGTTGGTATTGAAAATGGGCCAAATCGGACGAAGTACAAGCCCACAAACTGAGAACACCTCTGTTTTCCAAACGGAAAAATAATTAGTTTTTTACTAATTATTCGTAAACCAAAGAAGATAAATTTACACAAATTTGAACATATATTCTATGAGCGATGCTCTAGTATTTGTACAAATGCGGGTCAAGCCTGTGTACATTGTATGTCAAGACTTAATTTTTTGCACAAAATACCTTTATAAGCAAGCCTTAAAAACCTCATAAACTATATAAATTCTTGACCAGCTGCAAATTCAGAATGCCCCTAAACATGTCCGTCTGCCCAATTATGTAGTATCGGTGACAAACATTCCCTCGTTCCCAAGAATGAAAATATCACTTAGAAATTTGCAAAAGAATTTAAAGAGGACTCAAACCGCTCAAAGGACACGCCCACACCCTCCTCTACGTTTATACAACAAAAACTGTGAAGCCCTTTGCTTTCCGTGTTTTTTGCTTGTTACTCATAAAGTAAAACACACACAGAGCCGATAGCCTCTGTTGCTAGTGCTCAATGTCTTTTTTTAGTCTAAGAATTCATTTCATTAGTCTAAAATTAAACTAATAATAATAATAATAATAAAAACACGCACACCATATAAATTTGCACTTTTACTCTGAAAATAAAACAGTCGGACGCGCCCATTTCATATTTTAGAGTAGGGAAACTTGCTTCTGTACCTTATTCGTATAAAAGATTCGGTCAAAACCGAATTCAATTTTTTTACTTGTTAAGATATCATCGCATACATACGTGACTATGAAATAAATGCCAAGTTTAGTCGATACAGAAATTTCAGTTTTGTGAAAAATGTGAACAAATTCACACTGAAATTTTATTCTTCCGAAGGTAGAGAGAGGATTTTCGGGAAGAACCCTGTTTCGAAAATTCCTCTAAATCGTTAAAACCTCTTGGTCACTGCCCTAAGTATAAATCAAACTGTTCTAATATCACGTATAAGTTCTATCAAATAATTGCAGACTATCGAACATCAGAAGAATCGCCGTAAAAGATAGTAAAAGAAGATCAAAATGTTCCTTTCAACCGTAATAGAAGGAAGGGAGTAAGCTGAAGACGAAAGACCTCGAAATGAAAGAAACTTGCGGATTCTTATACTGGAACCATAACGGAAATTTGAAGAGAAGGGACCGACATCAGTCGTGAAGGAAGGGAGGGGCTATATTGCTCACAGAAGCAACACGTATAAAGTTGAAGAAAATGTGCGCGTGTATGAGTGCCAGGTAGAATGCCATTAAGTACGGTAGCATACATGGGAGCGCTTATCGCGGACCTCAAATGAAAGCAGCTGACTTAGCAATCGTGTGCGCTTCAAGTTTTAAGACCGAAGGATACTGGAGAAGTTTTCAGCGCAGTTTCGAGGGATATTGTGCTGCTTATGTCCCAATAAGGCCTAACTGGCGATATATAAATATTGCTATGAATTTTTCAACATTTGTAGCGAAATTCTGTTTTGTAAACCTTTGGCATAAATTTCAAAGGGAACGTGCTTGATGGTACTTAGAAGAGCTACAATGTAGCGATATCTGGTTTGTGGACACTATGTATTATATGTTGTAGTTTGGAGGCTCACAGATAGTAAGTGATCATCGCCTGAGGGCGATGCTGAAAAGCCGAGTATGGGTTTGCGAAAGCAAAGTCTGAAAGGAACCTGCAATCGACGAATGCATTCCCGACGGTCAAATTAAAATATTTATCGTTGATAAATATTGCATTTTACGAAAATTTTACTGTCATTGACTCCTAAATATACTTTTCTGTTGTAATTTAAATTAATAAAACAAAAAATATTAAATAAAAAAATGGATGAAGGGAGATATAAAAGGAGTGTTATGTAAATAATTAGTTTGCTTCTGTTGTAATTTTTTAAAATTAAATTCGCTATATATACTCGTGTGCCTACTTTATAGCCCATTCTATAGAATAGTATATTCTATAGTTTTATGAACTGTATTTCTTGCCCAGATGCAACTCAGTGGAAGGCTTGCATATGTTACTGCATTTTTATACCCATCAAAAAGTATATATATTCTTGATCAGCATCAAATTCAAAATCGATTTAAGCATTTCCGTCTGTCAGTTTGTCCTTCTATCCGGCTGTCTGTCTGTGTAATGCCTGTTGTAAACAGTTTCCTTGCCGGAAAAATGAAGCCATCAACTTCAGGTTTGGTACGAAAATTGGAAATTCTTGCACGCAGGTTGGTATTGAAAATGAGCCAAATCGGACGAAGTACAAGCTCACAGCGCCATGTAAACTAAGAAAATCTTTGTTTTCCAAAGGGAGAAAAATTGGCCTGAGGCAAATGGGGCAAATTGATCGGGCTTACATAATATTATAATTGAATTTTATTTTTTTCCCTTTTTTTGAGTTTATGTACTAGCTATAGCGAGCGGTCGGTCGGTGAAGGCATAAAACTTATCGATTGGGCACACACTCACTGACCAGCGGCAACCGCCTCCCTCTTTCTCTCCCTTTACTCTTTTCTTTCTGCAAGTCATCGCATTACACGAGTAGGAGGCATAACCGATTGATCATAGTAAACAAATTAAAAATTGATGATAATAAGCATATTGAAAAAAATTATAATCGCACACAATCATTATAATGATTAAAAACGAAGCTGAGACTAATGGCGATATTTGAAAGGCTTATAAGCTAACATGTTTCATATTTTTTTATTTTATTTCGACGCCACGATTGGCGCAAAGAAAAAGTAATGCCTGGAATAACATCGAAGCTTACCAGCCAGCCATTTCTTCGCTAGAGAGTTTAAGCTGATTAAAAGCATATTGTTCTCGTAAGGAGAAAGTGTTGCTTGAGAGGCTGTAACTTGCTGACACATCCTTGACAATCGATCTAACTAGGGATTCTTATAAGTAATCTTTCAATAAGATCAAATAGATATTCATACAAAAAGTATTAAATTTTGTTTCTGTAGATAATGTTTTGTTTTCATTCCATTGCAGCACCTTTATTCTCGGTTTTATTTACTTATTTTAATAATTAAGAGTGAAGGAAGGTTATAGCGCACAAGACTTTTATTCCATTTATTGCAATTATTTTAAATACTCTAAATTCTGCCTCTTGATTGAAATGCTTCTTCCAAAGTGTTGACAAATAAAAAAAAAAGCTATTATGTTTCTTCTCAAAAAGTGAGAATTGCAGGGATGTATGTTAGCGCCAACAATCAGCTGATATGAAGTTTTCAGTGAAGTAACCAGAACCTAAACGAATGCTCGCCAGCCAGGAGATAAAAGAAAAAAAATTAAATAATGAACGGTTTGTTTGTAAACCAAAACGCACTTTAATATAAAGCAATTTAACATTTTCTCTTTTTCAGTTAGAAATCACTGATATTGTTATTGAATTATTAGAAGTTCTTTTAAACCAGATACTTTACTTAAGAGATGTTTATCCTACTCAAATATTTAAAAAGCGACGTATCTACAATACACCAGTTTACGTATCTATTTATCCACCATTAAACTCCTACTTACATAATGTCTTAAAAAGCGCCCGCGAATTCTTAAAAAACAAAGAATTACGTTGTTTGGAAGCGAAGCTATACAAGGAAGATTCGGAAGAATACGAAGTTTATCGTTTCATGATAGCTAATACTATCGCTTTTAATAAAGAGAAACAAGACGAGTTTCTTATAGATTTTGAAGAGCAGATGCGTGCTTCTTTATACTTAATGGCAGAAAGATTAAAGCATTTACCAAAATTACCAAATGATGCGAGATTTAAAGTTTTATTGCAAACTACCCAGACGGCTTTTGTCAAATTCAGTCAAAACCCCCATCATCAGGTGATTTTTAAAATTAATTGATATAAATTCTTATTTATATCCGAATATATATATATTTTATTCTCAGGATTTCCCATGGCTTTGTGCAAATTGTGTTGATAAACCGACTTCAAAACAAAAAGAAATTTCCTTATTGCCTTTAACATCTATAAATTCTCTGAATATAAGTCTTATGGCCGATATTGTCCGCTAGAAATTGCCGCTCAGAGTTTATTTTATTTAGTTTAAAATAAAATTCCATTTACATGAAATTTAAAGCAAGCCTTGTCTTTTCAAATCTTCATAGGTTTTACGGTTAACCACATTACCCTGCGAATCTTCAAATTCTTCTTCTTGATCGGCTATCCAACGTTCAGATTGCTTTTGTGATTTCAGCTTCTCCCACAAAGTAATGGCATCTTCAATTTGTGTAACATTTGCGAAATGCGCGGTATTTGGTATACCCAAACAGCGCATGCCGTGAGCATGACGCCACTCAGCAAAATGTCTTTGAAATGCTTTGGGTCCTTTATATGTAAAGTTACCACAAATCTCGCAATTATAGCTTATATTCAGACCATGCAATTTATATAACCAATATGGTATGGGTTTGCCATCCCAGCCCAAAGGCAAATTTTTCGGGTTATATGGCACGTCATCAGCATCCGGATCGTCATCGTTATCTGTATCACTCGCTTCCACATCGCTGTCATCACGTTCTCCTCCCGTACGAGCCTGCTTACGTTGAACGTTTTCTTTGGTGGCACTGCGTTGTTCGGACACCAGTTCAGCATATTTATAGAGATAAGCTTCTTGTTGGGCAATTTCTTTGTGCCGCTCGTTTTCGCGTGATTGCACATTAGAGCTTTTAACCGGCTTTTTCGCCATCAACGAAGGATCCAAAGTAGTTTTACCCTTCGTGGAAAATAAACGTTGGGCTCTTTCTTCTAAAGTGCCACCACATTTCAAACCCAAAGCCATAAGGGCAGATTTAAGACGATCCAAACCTAAGGAAGCCAATTCTTCCCAACTGGAGAAGGCCGATAGATCTAAATGAGCACCTGTGTTAGCCAAAGCTGATTCAGTTTCCTTGGACGCCCAACCAGGAAAAGTGCCCTGCAACCATTGCTTTTGAAATTCCAGCTCAACTTTTAAGACCTCGTTTTCCAGATCCAATAGTGGTTGAATGCGAACTATAAAATTGTGCAAGTACCCATTTAAAGTTTCCAAATATTTTTTATAATCCTTGTTTTTACGTTCCTTCGATACATCAAAAACATGATCGAAAGTCATCAGATACGTGATGTAGTCTACTTTCTCCACGCCTCTTAAATTCAAATACATATCATAGCATTCATTTAAATCCAAATATCTTCCGCCACCCTCTTCATCCGTAAACTCTACTAATGCAGACATTTCTTCTGTATTATTATAGGCCTTAACTAAATCATCAAATTCCACCGATAAGGGAATACTAACTTCGCTCGGATGCCTTTTGTAAAATTCTTTAATTTGTTTTAAACGATTATAAAACTCATTAAACTCATTTGGACCGGATAAAGCTTGGATTTCTGCCTTTCGTTCATTATCTTTATCTTCGCACAATTCTTTCAATTTAACCGTAGAATTATGATGTAATTCCAGTAAATACTTTAGTCTATGCTCCGAATAAATGCGTTCTTTTTCTCCAGATTTTTTACTGGCGTATTCATCTACCATTAGTTTAATTAAACGTTCACGTTCCTCATGGTAGCGACGTTGCTGTTCCAGCAAAGTTTCCATGTTGTAACTAGATATGTGTAAATGTAATTTAACTAAATTTATTTTCACAAAACTTCCTTTCTTTAAAAAAAATTAAGAAACTTTTGCTTAATTTACAAAGGAAAACAACGCGTGTGTTCAGTTAAAGCTATCAAATGCCGTTATTGTATACCAGCATTCGCCAATCGTGAACACATCGCGAACCGTTTAAAGCGTTTGTAGAACTTTACTAATATGATATAAACACAAGTTGAACTGTAATAATACAAAGGTGTACATTTTTGTCACAAATTATTATTATTACTCAATTTATTATGTATCTTTAAGAATGTGTTCGCAAAATTTTTTATAAAAGTGTGTTGCAACTATTTCTCTCTCTTATATAATTTCGCTCATTCATTCAAAGACTTTTCGAAAAGAATTATAGACTGTTTTTAGAAAAAAAAATAAAAGAACTTATCGAAAGTAGCATACACTGATTTCGCATTCAGTAATTTATGCAAATTTTATATACGAATTTTTACTCGCTCAGAGCACTGTTCATCTACTTTTTTTTTTTTTGTAAAAGGTATGTTAAACTTGCTAAGAGGTGCAAGCAAGTAGAGTCATCTAGCGATAAACGAATTCAAAAAAAAAAACTTTGGCAACACTATTATTTAAAATGGCTGACGCTCTCTCCCGACGAGTACAAAAAATTTCTGTACAGAAAAAAACGGCAAAGGAGCAAGAAAGAAAAAGCGTCTGACGAGAAAATTCCGTGTTTTCCGTTAAGAAAAATATCGAAAAAGTTATTAAAGAATTTTTAAAAATTACCCGCAAACTGAAAATATTAAATTTTATACATAAATGATATGAAAAACTCGGAGAAATTATTAAAATAATAAAGGAAATCCCAAAAGGCAGTGAATAGGAAAAATTTCACTTTTTTGTGAAACTATACGGAGTGTGTGGTGGTGGTGATTGGATTAAAGAAAAAAAAAGCAAAAAAGAAAAAAAAAAACGGTGTACAACTAGATACTCTCCAGCATAATTGGAAGCAGAGAATTTTAATCGAATTAAAAGTCAAAAAATGTAAAAGAAAATTCCAGAAAAATTTTTTTTAAGTTTTTGAAAAACGACACAAAAATCCTACTGACTAGATACGCATATGTATACATATATATAAATATATATGCATATATACATATATTTTTTTCAAATTTGAAGACTGCATTGAAAAGATTATTTGCTGATTAACAACCTACCACTCCTCTGTTCTAAGCTGATTTTGCTTAGCAGCATTATTTATCTTCACACGTGTTTTGCACTATAAATTTATCGTTTATTTCGTTTTCATAGCGAAATTCGCATTTTATCGTAAAACAACAGTAGTGAATGTAAAAGTATTACTCGTGCGTATATTAAGCGCGTGTGTTTGTGTGTTAAATAGAAGAGCTCTACATTACTATTTCGTTCTTTTTTTTTTTTTTTTTTTTTTTGTTGATTTGTGCCCTGCAGTGTGTTATCTCCAGTGACCCGCTGATCGGTCTTCGTTGCAAATAACAACAATAACAACGAAAGGAAATATGAAAAAAATTAAAACAAAATGCCGTACATCAACAAAAATAGCAATAGCAACAACAACATTCTTAACAATTGATTACGTTGCTTAACTTTCTAATCAAAAATCTTGTATTTCATTTTGCGGTTTTAAGCAAATACCTCGGGGTCATCGCATAATTGACCTTAAACTCTTTTTAATTTCGTGACAGTGTGTAGACATTGTGTTACATATAATAACGACAAGATGGAGTTGGAAGAATTAGAAAATCTTAGTAAAAATGACTTTTTACCCTTAATACCGTTAATTAAACAAGAGCAATTGGATTCGGTACAAACGGATATGGATACACGTGAACATATGCCTAGTACGGCTACAACATCAGCAGACCCAGCTAGCACTTCATCATCATCATCATCATCTATTGCAAATCCCTGCGATAGTGCAGAGAAGCGGGTAAGTTAGATGCATGTGTGTAAGCATTTTCTGTTTATTTACATTAAACATTTTTGTTTTTTGTAAAAACCAAGATACTCTTTAGAGCAACAACAATAATTTGCTATCATATACGATATACGTGCAATCAAAACGATAGCTGTTCATCATGTGCTTGCATGCCTATACATGGGAGCATACTAGCGTAACCCTTTCCGGTTTATATTAATTTTTATATAGTTGAATTTTTCTGTTTTTTAATTAGTAAAAATTTGCAGAATATTCTCAATTGAAAATAAATTTTTCATCACGTTGCAGACCTAATATGTGAACATGAATAGTTTGGAATTGTAAGCAGCGACAGCTTCACAAATGTAAAATGGGTTCCAGAAAAGATTGTGTTTTTAGTGTTTCGCTTGTGGGTCCCTGGTCGTCCGTCGTACTCTCTGCAATTGAGATCAGAGTTTCTTAGCTATCAATGAAAACGTTCGAGGAGAATGAATATTGAAATCAAAACGGTGTTTGGATGCGGTTACCCAGCGCGGTATTTTTGTAACGCGAGGTGTGTTCTAGAAATAAATGGTGAATTTTTGTCTCTCGAGAAATATTTGTTTATTCATGGATATCTTTGACATTTTGCTCCCTTCAAAGTAGATATAAAACATTTGTGCCAATGCTTTTCCCAATTCCTGAAGCACTTCTAATATGGTTTTTTAATATGACCTTGAGCTCTTCCGGCAAGGCGGTGTTCTCTCGCCTTAATCGTTGCAAAATACTTTGCTTTTTTTGGGAACAGGAAAAATGAGCTGGGGTAAGGTGAATCTGGATTGACATTGACGCCATTCAAGTTCTCCGAAGCGACGGTTTTTTTGTTCAAAATTTAGTAATTTCGGAACAAATTTCGGTGCCATACCCAAATACCCCGAAAAATCCCAAAAAAAATCCATCACTTGGCATGGGCCAACATCCTCAGCAACTTCTCTATAATTTTTTGTACGGCTTCAACGTTTTCATCGGTGTCTGGGGTGTCTTTCCTGAATTATAAACATTTTCTTTACTCATAGCAGACTCGCCAAATGCGGGAAGTGCCAGAAAGATCTCCCCGTTCTGGTTGCAAAGGGTACCAATTAGTGTGCGCATATTCATTAGTCACGTGATTCGTGTTATTGCTAAGTGAGACCCGAACGAATGCTCATGCCAGCTGATAGAGCTCATTTAGGCCGCTGTATTTTGGATGAATTTTACCCAGAAAGGAATACTGCAGAAGCGTATAGAACTTAATTAAAAGATTTATATTGTAGAAATGAATTGAATTTCGTGAAGATACATTTTTTGAGAGAGCATCGATCTTCCTGATAAGCTACGCTCCGGTTGACCATCGACGGTGATACTGTCACGATGAATTTTAGAGCAAAACCCTTTTTTTGACAATAGCGGAGATTACAAAAAGTCTTGATTCAGCTTGAAAAGCTACTTCGGACCATATTCGAAAACTAAGATTTTAAAAATGGCGATATATCTAATGTATTGCTAATCAATATCTAAACTAAAAATTTATAGCTGTTTTGTTAATTGCACCGGTATCGGATAATTGCTCAGAACCAGTTCTATCACAAACTTCTAAGATGGAAGTGCAAAATATTCATACTGATCTAAATAGATACATTTTTTTTTTCGTTTTTCAGTCAAAAATTTTTTCTTGAGCAATTGGTAAGAAATTCTCACAGTAAAGTAAATTTGTGTAGTGGACTAAGAGTTTCGTTCTAGAATCATTATAATTTTCTTATTAACCGAAAGCAATTTTTTCTATCATATGTGATTCTATATTTTTATGATTCGCTAGAAATGATTTATCCGCATGAACAGCCAAGCAGGGAGGAATCGCGACTACCAAGTCTTTCTTCATGGGCTCAAATCTCAGAATTGAATTTGGTCTCTGTTAAAGTGAGCGTTCAGTCGCAAAGACATAACACTAACCACTACGCTGCGGCCACTGCCTCTCTGCCTCTTTCTTTTTCCTTATTCTTTTTCGATAGTCATCGGACTATGCGAACAGCCGATATCCGCTGAGTGATTGCTCCATATTAAAAAAAAAAAACAAAAGGAACATGGAAAGAAAGCTGTGGACCGGTTTAATAGTTAACTTTCAAAGTAAAATAATAGCAATAAGATGAGTTAACACTTCACATTATGCGAATCAGGAGCTTTTCGCAAATAATTGGAGCAAGACTCCCTTACAGTACGAACTTTGTTTCTTTTAATGTATTTATATTTTTATACCCATTACCGAGGGATGAGGGGTATATTCATGCAACGCCCAGAAGAAAGCATCAGAAATCTCCCAAAGGTTTATGTTTTCTTAGTCAACATCAAATTCTAAATCGATTTCAGCATGTTCGTCTACTCGTCTATTGTTAATAGTGTCCTGGCCGCAAAAACAAACCTATCGACTTTAAATTTGGCAGAAGCATTGGAAGTTCTTGCTCGCACAGGTTGCTATTCAAAATGACCCAAGTCATTAAAAGAACACATAACTGAGAACAATACTATTTTTCAAAGGGAATGAAAAAATTGGTTTTTTGCCCATTGTTTTATACTTCTTAAACTATAGCCGATAAATGCGCAAAAATTTGAACACAAATATTTACGTTGCCTACCCAATATTATAGTGTATCGAAATTTTTTTTTTTGCAATACCTTTTAAAGGAGTTGAAGCAAGCTGCAAGGATTCCACAAAGTATATAAATTTTCAAGAGTAAAAGAATATAGTTCTTTTCCTGTTTTTTTCAATACCTTTTAAAGGAGTTGAAGCAAGCTGCAAGGATTCCACAAAGTATATAAATTCTTGGCCAGTTTCAAATTTGGAATTGTTCTGACTGTGAAACTTTGTAGTATTCTTGATCATCTATCTCCCATTAGTGAAAGCGAATGCTATGCCTTGAAATTTACAGTAGAATTTGAGAGGGACCCAACTTTTGCATAGGACGCGATCACAACACTTATGCGACAAAAACTTCGCTGCTGAAAAGAGTAAAACAACATGAAAATATAGTTTTTTTCCTGTTTTTTTTTCTTTTTTAGGATAACGGTATAAAAGATTTCATCACGAGTGAATATAAATTTTTTATTTGTTTTTTTTTTCTTAGCAGATAAAAGGATAACAACGATATCAACTCTTTAACCTATGTTATACTAAAAATCTCAGCTGGCAACACCTTTTCCGCTTTTTTTTTTGTTGTTATTCTCATATACTATCGCCTTAGTTATATAAAACAATGCCTAACTTTTTTATCAGCTGCATCAAGTTTCTGAAAAACAGACATAAAAACAAAAAAAAAAAAAAAAAGAAGAAAATAAAAGATAAACTACAAAAGACAATAATTCATTGATATGCACATTTATCCGACAGGTATAATAATAGTATGCCTAGTGATATAAAATTCGTGCGTTACATTACGTGAGATTTTGTTGAAACATGAATGCCATCTTATTTAGCTTTTCTTTTTTTTTTGTTTTTTTGCACTAATAACAACAACAACAACAACAAGAGTAACAAACATTAATGGCTTTCAAAAAAAGCTTTAGCAATTCGTGACACACAGGTAAATAAATTTTAAAGCCGTGCTTGCACTAAGCATCAGCTTTTTATGTTTTATATTGTGTTGTGTGTCTCTGCGCTCATCATTCAAAATTCATACAATTCGAAAATAATAGGTTGAAATGTTAAATAAAATCTTGTTCTACCATTTATTTTGTATATTCGCTGAAAATCTTACGCCCACAATTGTATAATTTTTTTTTGTTTTTTTTTTTTTTTTTTTGAAAGCTTCGTTACACATATTATTACCGCATATTACTATGCGCTCATGCATTGTAATATGTGCATTTTATTATACATTAACTTCGATTGAAATTAAGCGATTTGTCACGTTCGGACCATGAACGTTTATAATTCATTAAGTCTTCGGAATTTCTGCAATAAATTACTTCTAAAAAATTGTTCGTTTCGTTTGCTTTTTTTTCTTTTTTTTTTTTAAATGTAACGGCCGCAATTTCGGGTCGTCGAAAAAGTCATGACGCGTTTTAGTAGCGCAAGTAAACTTTTCGCATCACATATGTTAATTTATTCTGCGACAAAATTCTTCGCTTTTTTTTTTCTGGATGACCAACTTTTCTATATAATATTTGTATATATTGTTTTCCCATTAAGAACATCAAATTAAGTTAAGATATAAAATCTTTATAGCTTCAAAGGTATTTTAAAATGTACTCACTCAATAATGGTCATAAAATTTAATGTATCCAGGTAGAATGTATACATATATATATATATATATATATATATATACCTATATATATGTTGTTGCATAAAACGTTTAAAGTAATAAACTGCAACTAGTTCAGGGAATTAAATCGACACTAATTTGGCTTACCTGGCGCACAGACAGATTAAATTATATACACATATGCATACAAACAAATTGCAATAATCTCTTTTATTTGAGTCGAAATGTAAGTCGGATTATGTAGCTATTTTTTTTTTTTCCACTAAGGCAGTGACGTTACAAATATGGCTTTCGGGAAAAGTAGGTACATAATCCGATATATATATATATATATATATATATATATGTAGAGTTCCCTTTATACTTTTCCACATCTGTATTTAGACGTAAGTTCTATTTTGCAGCTGGTACAACTTTGCTTATCTCCATTCTGCCGCAAGTTTGCCTAAGGCGAACAACGCAGCTGTTATTCCCAGAAGGCATTATTTTATAACAATAGCCTCAATGCGTAATGTTAATTTTCTCTTCGAAAAAAAAAAATAAATAGATTAATTTCTTTCAATTTTATGCAGAAAAAAGTCCTACTTTGGTACCTAAGAAATATTCGACTTACCTTTCTTTATCAATCTGTGCTTTTTCCTATCCATCTTTAAATATATCGAATAGAAAAAAAAAAAAGAAAAGATGAGTGAGTTCAAAAACCTTGTCCATGAGTCTAAGTACTCGAAATTTTTG